ACTGCTCCCCTGTCAGCCCGATCACCCCCAACTGCCCTCCCCTCCCTGCCTGAATACCCACAACTGCCCTCCCCTGCTGCAACCCACCTCCTCTGCCAGGACCGGCCTCCTCCGCACGCTGTGCGGACTCCCAGGCCTCACTATGCGGAACAGATGCCAGGCCCCACCACCTTGTGGCTGCCATCTTTGTGGCGGCCATCTTGTGGCGCCATCTTGTAGTGGCCATCTTGTGATGACGTTGCACATGAGGGCCACCTAGGCTTTTATTAGTATAGATAGTATTACCACATATAGTCATCATGCTGTACATTATATCCTCAGATCTTATTCAGCTTATAGAAAAAATTTGTAACCCTTTTACCAACTTCTCCTTGTTTCCCTATCTACCCACCCGCAGCAGCAACTTTTCTATTCTCTATTTCTATGAGTTTGACATTTTTGTTTAAAAAAAGGATTCAACATGTAAGTGATATCATGCAATATTTGCCTTTCTCTGACTAGCTTATTTCACTTAACACAATGCCCTCCAGATTTACCCACGTTGTCACAAATGACGGAATTTTCTTAGTTTTTAAAGGTTAAGTAATATTCTATCCTATCTAACAAAAGGGTAATATGCAAGTCAACCCAATGGTGGAACGACCGGTTGCTATAACATGCACTGACCACCAGGGGGCAGTCGCTCAATGAAGAAGCTGCCCACTGGTGGTCAGTGTGCTCCCACAGGGAGAGCGCTGCTCAGCCAGAAGCCGGACTCATGGCTGGTGAGCGCAGTGGTGGTGGCAGGAGCCTCTTCTGCCTCCAGAGCAGTATTAAGGATGTCCAAAGGCTTAGGCCTACTCCCTGCTGGCAGTCAGACATCCCCTGAGGTCTCCTGGACTGCAAGAGGGCACAGGCCAGCCTGAGGGACACCCCTCCCCCCCACGAGTACACAAATTTCATGCACCGGGCCTCTAGTATATATATAAAATTAAATGTATATAATTATATAATATATTTTACTGATCCACTCACCTGTTGACAGACACTTAGGTTGTTTCCATATCTTGGCTGTTGTGACTAATGCTGCAATGAACATGGGAGTATAGGTATCTCTTTGAGATAATGCTTTCATTTCTTTGGGATATATACCCAAAAGTGGGATTGCTGGATCATATGACAAGTTCTATTTTTAATTTATTAAAAAATCTCCATACTGTTCTCCATAGTGGCTATACCAGTGCACATTCCCTACAGCAGTGTACCAGGGTTCCCTTTTTTCACAATCCTTACCAGCATTTATCTCTTGTCTTTTGATAATAGCCATCCTAACAGAGGTGAACTAATATTTCATTGGATTTGAATTGGCATCTTCTGGATTACTAATGATGCTGAGCATCTTTTCATGTACCTGTTGGCCATTTGTATGTCTTCTTTGGAAAAATGTCTTTTCAGGTTCTTTGCCCATTTTTATTTTGTTTTATTTAAAAAATATTTTTATTGATTTCAGAGAGAGGAAGGGAGAAGGAGAGAGATGGAAACATAAATGATGAAAGAAAATCATTGATCAGCTGCCTCCTGCACGCCCCCTTCTGGGGATGAAGCCTGCAACTTGGGCATGTGCCCTTGATCGGAATCGAACCCAGGACCTTTCAGTCCATAGGCCAATGCTCTACCGACTGAGGCAAACCAACTAGGGCATGCCCATTTTTAAACTGGGCTGTTTACTTTTCTGCTATTGAGTTGTGTGAGTTCCTTGTATATTTTGGATATTAGCCCCTTATTGTATATGTGGTTTGCAAATATTTTTTTTCATCTGGTAGGCTGCCTTTTCATTTTGTTGATGGTTTTCTTTGCTGAGCAGAAGCTTTTAATATTTTTTATTTACATTTTTTTTCTTTATTGTTTGAGGTATTACAAATGTGTTGAGCAGAAGCTTTTTAGTGCAATGTAGTCCCACATGCTTATTTTTGCTTTTGGTGTCAAGTAAAAAAAGTTATTTATTAATTTTTAAAATATATTTTATTGATTTCAGAGAGGAATGGAGAGGGAGAGAGAGATAGAAACATCAATGATGAGAGAGAATTATTGAGTATCTGCGTGCCCCACACTGGGGATTGAACCCACAACCCAGGTATGTGACCTGACCGGGAATTGAACCCTGACCTCCTGGTTCATAGGTTGGCACTCAACCACTGAGCAACACTGGCCAGGCAAAAAAAGTTATTGCCAAGACCAATGTCAAGGAGCTTAGCCCCTATGTTTTCTTTTAGGAGTTTTATGGTTTCAGGTCTTAAACTCAAATTATTAAGATTAAATAACTTTTTTGTTGTTGATTTTTGTGAATGGTCCAAAATAGGGCCTAGTTTAATTCTTTTGCATGTGGCAATCCAGTTTTTTCAAAACCATGTACTGAAGAGATTACCCTTTCCCCATTGTATATTTTTTACTCTTTTCTCAAAAATTAGTTAACCCGCTGCAGTCAATTAAGCCGACCATGCTCTTTTCCCCATGGGGCCTAGTGTGCAATGGCTGCAAACAGCAGCATCCTTTCAAAACCATGTACTGAAGAGATTACCCTTTCCCCATTGTATATTTTTGACTCTTTTCTCAAAAATTAGTTAACCTTATATATGTGGGTTTATTTCTGGGCTCTCTATTACGTTTCATTGATCAGTGAGTCTGTTTTTATGCCAATACCATACTGTTTTGATTACTATAGCTTTGTAATATAGTTTGAAATCAGGAGGTGTTATGCTTTCTCTTTGTTCTTCTTTTAAAAAAATATTTTTATTGATTTCAGAGAGGAAGGGAGAGGGAGAGAGAAATAGAAACATCAATGATGAGAGAGAATCATTGATCAGCTGCCTCCTGTCCGCCCCCCACTGGGGACTGAGTCCACAACCCAGGCATGTGCCCTGACCAAGAATCAAACCATGACCTCCTGGTTCATAGGTCGAAGCTCAATCACTGAGCCATGCCAGCCTGGCTGGGGTTGTTTTCTTCACTTTTTTATTTTATTTTATTAAAAAAAAATCTTTATTGTTGAGAGTATTACAGATGTTCCCTCTTGTTTCCCCCATTGCCCTTCTCCACCCAGTTCCTGCCCCATCCCAGGCCTTCACCACCCTATTGTCTGTGTTTATAGATAATGCATATATGCATATAAGTTCTTTGGTTAATTTTTTCCTGCCCCTCCTCACCCCTTCCCTCTGAGATTTGTCAATCTGTTTCATGCTTTCATGCCTCTGATTCTATTTTATTCAGGTTATTTTGTTCATTTTATTTCTTGTTTATTTACTTTGATTTTTTAGATATAATTGTTGATAGATATATATTTGTTGCCTTTTTATTGTTCATATTTTTTATTTATTGTTGTCTCCTCCTCCTCCTCCTCCTCCTCCTTCTCTTTCTTCTTCCTTTTCTTAAATTATACCCTTCAACATTTCATGTAATACTGGTTTGGTGGTGATGAACTCCTTTAGCCTTTTCTTTTTTTAATTTTTTAATATATTTATTGATTTATTACAGAAAGTAAGGGAGAGAGATAGAGAGTTAGAAACATCAATGAGAGAGAAACATCGATCAGCTGCCTCCTGCACACCTTCTACTGGGGATATGCCTGCAACCAAGGTACATGCCCTTGACCGGAATCGAACCTGGGACCTTCTAGTCCACAGGCCGATGCTCTATCCACAAGCCAAACTGGTTAGGGTTAGCCTTTTCTTATTTGTGAAGCTTTTTATCTGTCCCTCAATTCTAAATGAGAGCTTTGCTGGGTAGAGTGATTTTGGTTGTAGGTCCTTGCTATTCATCACTTTGAATATTTCTTGCCACTCCCTTCTGGCCTGCAAAGTTTCTGTTGAGAAATCAGCTGACAGTCGTATGGGTGTTCCCTTGTAGGTAACTAACTGCTTTTCTCTTGATGCTTTTAAGATTTTCTCTTTGTCTTTAACCCTTGGCATTTTAATTATGATGTGTCTTGGTGTAGATCTCTTTGGGTTCCTCTTGTTTGGGACTCTGTGCTTCCTGGACTTGTAAGTCCATTTCTTTCGTCAGGTAGGGGATTTCTTCTTCAAATAGAAGAAATGTGAACGTTGGTACGCTTGAAGTTGTCCCAGAGGCTCCTTACACTGTCTTCATATTTTTGGATTCTTTTTTTTCTCTCTTCTGATTGGGTGTTTTTTTGCTTCCTCATATTCCAAATTGTTGATTTGATTCTTGGAATCCTCTACTCTACTGTTGAATCCCTGTACATTATTATTTATTAGAGGCCCGGTGCATGAAATTCATGCACGGGGGGCGGGGGGGGGGGTCCCTCAGCCTGGCCTGCACCCTCTCCAATCAGGGACCCCTCAAGGGATGTAATATTGTAATCCAGAACTGCTGGCTCCTAACCACTCACCTGCCTGCTGACTTGATCCCCCTAACTGCTCTCCCCTGCCAGCCTCATTGCCCCTAAGTGCCTCTGCCTTGGCCCAGCCACTATGGCTTTGTCCAGAAGGATGTCTGGAAGACGTCCGGTCTAATTAGCATATACCCTTTTATTAGTATAGGTTTCTGTTAGTGTATGCTTAATTTATGACTGGTCCTTTTTCATGTCTGACATTCTCACTAAGATCCTTGAAAGTCTCATGAAGATCCTTGAGTAACCTTATAACCATGGTTTTGCTTGCTTCCATTCTGTACCCAGTAGTTTGCTTGCTTCCATTCTTTCATTTGTGACATGTTTCTTTGCCTCCACATTTTGACTGCTTCCCTGTGTTTGTTTCTATGAATTAGGTAGAGCTGCTGTCTCCTGGAATTGGTAGAGTGGCCTTGTGCAGTAGGTGTCCTGTAGAGCCCCGTAGCACAGCCTTGCCAGACCTGAGTGGGGCACTCTAGGTGTGCCCCTGTGTGGGTTGTGTGCTACTATCTTGTAGCTGAGCCTTGATTGCTGTTGGTGTCACTGGGAGGAGTTGACCTCCCGGCCAATTGGCTGTGAGGACCAGCTGTGACTACGGTGGGAGAGCTGCTGTGCAGGAAACACTGCTATGGAGCAGGACTTGCTTCAGTGGGGCTTTGGTGCTCACTGAGTCTGCCCCTTGAGTGTGCCACTTGTGGATGTGTAACGTTGTAATCTGCTATGGGTGGAACATAAGTTATTTAGAAATATTGTTAATGATTCAAATTGGAAACAAAAAATTTTACACCACTCCTCTCTTAAGGAATATATAGACATTGGAAGGTGAGCTGTTAAAAAAGCTGTTATATTTGCAACTATGTATGTGGGAAAATCAGAATTTTCTTCATATTGTACCATCAAAACAAAATACAGAAATAAATGATCTACAACTGTAGTTGTAAATGTGTGCATACGCTTAATTATTCTCATTGACTTTCTAAGTAAAATATTTTAAATATGACCTTGCTAAATATTTTTATATTTATTAAATACTATGTTTAACTTATTTTACACTTTGGAATTTCTCATAACATTTTATTTGGAAAGAGTTTTATACAAATATCAAATGATAAAAATGGAAGAGGACAATGACAACTAGAGATTGTGGAATATATCTTCTGCAATCCTTGGAGGAAAGAAAGGTGACCTTTGGGTTGTTTCAGATCAAGAATGTGGATGGGATTATAGAAAAGATAATTTATTTCACACAGTGTTTTTCTGCATCAATGATTTTAATATGGATTCTTAGTGGTTACCAACAACTAGTCAAATAATTTTCTTTTTACACACTCTGGATTCTGACCTAGTGAAATGAGGGCTTAGCCCTCTTCCTCCATCTCTTTCTTGATCCAGTCCACGTAATTGAGTAACTTGGTGTAGAAGCCATATCCCCTGCTACACCCGATGCCCCAGGATACTATGCCCGTGGCCACCCAGCGGTCAGTATTCGGATCCCTCACAGCAAAGACTCCTCCACTATCCCCCTGACAGGCATCCTGCTTTAGAGTTGGGTCCCCAGCACAGAACATGTTTTGTGAGAACACATCGTTCCTATTTTTACCCCGAAGCCACCTCTCACACAAACCTCGGTTAGCTACGGGCAGACGGACAAATCTGAGATTGTTAGCAATCCTTTCCTCCATTATCCCAAAGCCACTGACATAGCCCATGAGGCCGCTATCATAGAAGGTCTCATTGTCAGGGAGGCAGATGGGGAGGAGGTTGGGGCCCAGGGTGACACTATTTTCCAGTTCTAGGAGGGCGATGTCCCCCTCAAAATTGTGGGACTCATCCTGGCGGTAGTCTGGGTGGATGCTGACCCTGCGTACAGGGTGGTTTGCTAGTTTTGTGATTTCTTCCACGTTTACGTGGCCCAGGAACACATCTATGCTGGCATTGGCTTGTGCGTTGTGTTCCTTGGGGTAGAGAGTGTGGGCAGCTGTGAGGATCCAGCGGTCACCCAGCAGGGCTCCACCCCCTCGCCCATAGATGTTGGTGAACGCCTGCCAGGGGAAGTTGCCCATCTTGGCATTTTGCCCTCCAATGATGCGCTGCTTCTGTTCCACAGGGTTAACAGGTTTCCCGCACACTGGAGAGGAGAGACAGGAAGTCAAGGACAAGTCCGTTCTAGGCCAGCCCCTCTTCCCTCCTGTGGTCAACCCATTCCCTTTTCATCCCTTCTTACTGGCTCTGGGCCCTTTCCTCTTTCTCCTCCCATTCCAACAGCTCCATCTCTGGCCTATTGTCAGACTGTTCTCCTTGTTCTTGTTTATTTCTTCCTGTTTTATCTATGTATTTTTGTTGTTGCTGTTTTTATTTCTGATTTCTCATCTGCTCAAAAAAATGCTGGAATGTCAGGACTGCATCCAATTCTTTGTATTTCTCTCTCTCCCTTTCTCCTGGGACATCCTCTCTTTTTCTCTCTTATTCCTCATGTCTATTTTCAACTTCAAGCTGGAGTGTCTCTCCACTCACTTTGCCTCCATTCTTTGTGCATGCTTTTTCGGTGGCAAAGTCACCAAGGATGTCTCCAGAGGGTTTCCACTCACCTGGCAAACACCGAGGAATCTTCTCTCCTTCCTGTTCATTTTTCCAAATGCCCTGGGCTGTGCAGGTATACGTGCCTGAGGGGAGAAGGGACTATGATCAGGTTGGGAGGAGCTGGGCAGGGAGACCAGGTTACAGAGGTCAATGAGCACTGAGTGTGTTGGGAAGAGGCAGGGGAGAATCAGAACCAGCATGGACAGGGATCAAGGGAAAGATTCAAATATATATAAGGGTGGAACATAAAAAGTGTGAAGAGGCTTCATACATATATTTTTGTTTTAATGTTACATGAAAATATTAGAATACTTAACTACAATGTGATTTCTATTTGTGAAAATAGACACAAAAACTGGGAGGAGCATATCAAGATCTTACCAGAGTCTTGGTGCCTTCATAGTGGGATTGTAGATAATAATGGCAGCTGCATTTCTGATTGCTGACAATGTGCCATGCTTGTTGCTAAGCATCTTATCTGCATTGTCTCATTTAAGTGCCCCCAGTGACACTTCCAGGTGTGCATCAGTGTCCTCCTCATTTTATAGACGAGGAAACTGAACTTAGATCATGTACATAAGGCCACATAAGT